TTTGTTATGTTGCGATAAATTTTACAAAAATGATTTTGCTTGACAATAAAAGATAAAGTTTAAAATGTATCGTGATATTATTATTTGCTCATTGCCATATAGATTTTTTATTCTACAATGATACTCCGACGAGAAAATTTACCATTTCATGTCAAGACGAACCATTGATACTGATCTGCAATTGATTGTAGAGCGTATCTATCGCCATAAAATATTATGATTTTATAGGGGTAAATTATAAGTCGCTCTACCTTAGGTAATGTTATTTGTTTGATAAATTATTTACGTTTCCACATGATTTCCTGGATTGGAAAGAATAATTCGATCATTGTTTCTTTTCGATTATAAATAATTTTTGATTATTATATTCAAGTTGATGTAAATATGTTTAAAATGAATGATGATGTAAAAGATATTCAAGTTCTATTTCAAGATATTAGCCGAATTTGGGAAGTCCGACCTGTCTCATTGTAACTGCGGATATACAAAATTTTAATAAAAATGTCCCGCCTAAGGTCTTTTTTTTCGAATTCCTTTCTTTTTTTCTATCCATTTTTCTTTTTAAAAAAAAAGAAAGAGAAAATTTCATTTTAAAAAGAAACCTTGGCAATATCATTGTTCTTTTGCCAAGATTTAAAAAAAAATCCTTTTTGGTTTAGTTTAGTTTTTGGAAAATCTTTTACATTTAAATCAAAAATTATAAAATATATGTAAAATAAACTAATTCGAAAGACGGAGTTGTCTAGGGAGTTGTAACGTCGGTTTTGTGCTATTTAAAAACTGTAATTAATTATTATCGTATAACAATTTATCTTATCGTCCCAATTTCATTCGGATTAACTTTTATGCTGTGTACCATAAGCTATTTTTGGGATTATATAAATAATCAGTGTAATATTGTTTTATTAAATCCGTTTCTTTGCGCTTTTGCATCGGTTTCACTGGTTGAACAGCAATTCCAAGATCTCTCCAATTTCACCATCTTTCCTACCCTCGCGGTCTCTCTTTAAAACCTTATTTTCACCGTTCTTTCGCGCGGTGCGCTTTAATTCCCTTCTCAGCAATACCACTTACTCCTCTTTTACCTAAAACAAAATCTTGCCTATTTACCAACTTCCATTTAGAATAAATCTCGTCCCGTCTATAATTTATATACTGCACATCTTTCTTAATTAAATTAGATCATATTTATTTTTGGATTATAACTGATAATCAAAGGACAATGTCAGAAGATGCAACAATGGATACTGCAACAGCAGAGGCAGTTCCTGCTACTGCTAATTTGGAACCACGAAATACAAAACGCACGACGGAAAGTTCTCCGACTAATACTACCTCTATACAACGAAAATTTGCCAAACATCTCCATCTTTCACCTCTCTTAGTTGCAGAGATAACACGTACCCTTTATTCCATGTTAGCATTCGTTATAGTCGGATTTTCATGTACTTTTGCTATACAATCGTCAGATTATCGGTGGAAAACTTCCGGTGATGACATGATGGCTTTGGTAGATCTTGGGTTTAAAGTTATTCCATATACAGAACAAATATTCTTAGCAGACTTGTTCATGCTTACATTGCTTGTTGGTTCTTTAGGCATAAATCTTTTCCTCGCCGAATCTCATATAGCGAGACTTATAATAGTTCGCCGTATATTTTGGATGTTGACTTTCCTTTTGGGATTTAGAATGATTACTCTTAGTGTGACCACTTTACCAAGTCCAAAGGATTGTAAGCCTCTTGAGCCCGGCAACTTTTGGAATATGCTCATAACCGGCGTGCATCTAATAACAGGCACAGTTAAAGCATGTACAGATAATATTTTTTCAGGCCATAGCATCTTCATCACCACAAGGTAATTCATTATTTAATATTTTAATATCCATCATTTAAATTCACAT